CAAACCCACCAGCCACTCCTCAGAAGGAAGGTTGGGCAATCCTACTTCCGTAGTGATACTGCCTTGGAAACCCAAGGAGGGGTCACTATGAGTTGGGGCTGACTCGACGGCACATAACAACAACAACAACAATATCTGATTTATGTATTTTGGGGCTCTTTCATTGGGTGTGTACATGTTTATTATGGTTATGTCCTCTTGTTCAATTGATCCTTTAATCATTATACAATGTCCTTCCTTGTTTCTTATGGTGGTTTTTGTCTTAAAGCTAATCTTACCAGAAATTAATATTGCCACTCCTGCTCTTTTTTGGTTGCCGTTTGTTTGATAGATCTTTTTCCAATCTTTGATTTTCAGTCTATTTTTGTCTTTGTGTCTATGGTGCTCTCATGGACAGCACACTGATGGATTATGTTTTCTTATCCTGTCTGCAACGCTCCGTGTCTTGAGTGTTGCATTTAATCCATTTATATTCAGTGTATTTATTGACGAGTGTGAATTTGTTGCTGTCTTTTTGTGTGTGTGTGTGGTGTTGCTGATTTCTTTGTTCCATATAATTTTCTGTGCTGAGCTCACTTTTTTTTTTTTGAATTGTGTTATCATTTCCTCCATTGCTGTTGTTTTGGTATTTGCTAAATATTTATGCTTGTACTCTTTTTTATTTTGATGTGAAGGTTTATCATTTGTCTTTGAGGTTACTGTGTGATTTATAATTTTCTTGCCAAATGTAGAGCAATCCATTCTGTCTCACAATTGTCTTGACTTCCTCACCATTTAGAAATTTTGTAACTACAATATTTTTTCCCTCTTTTTCATTTGTCATTGTCCTCATTTGCCAATTGATGTCTTTGGTTTCCTGTTTGCAGTCTTGTAAGCTTATTTTACTTTGGATACTTCCGTCACTGTGTTGGTTTCTGGGTTATATCATCTTGTGTATTAATGGTTGGTTGTTGTTGGCTGTTGTTGGTTCTCTGTCCAAAGAACTCCCTTCAGCATCTCTTGTAAGACTGTTCTGGTTTTAACAAATTGCCTTCATTTCTGCTTATCTGCACATGTCGTGATTTCACCATCATATTTGAGGGACAGTTTTGCTGGGTACATAATTGTTGGTTGGAAATTTTTTTCTTTCAGGGAATGCCACTGCCTTCTCACCTGCATGGTTTCTGCTGAGAAATCCGAGCTTGGTCTTATTGGTTGTCCCTTGTAGGTAACTTTTCATTTTTCCTGTGCTGCTCTGAGAATTCTTTGTCTTTGGTTTTGGTGAGTTTGATGATGATATGTCTTGGTGATTTTATTTTGGAGTCTATCCTGTTTGAGGTTCATTGGACTTCTTGAACAGATATATTCTTGTTCTTCATCATATCAGGGAAATTCTCTTCCAACAACTCTTCTCTGTGGTTCTCTGTGGTTTTGTTTGTCTCCCTTTTCTGGAATTCCCGTTACATGTAGGTTATTCCTCTTGATGGGTCCCATGTATCCCACATGAATCTTAGGCTTTCTTCATTATGTTTTGATCTTTTTTCTGACTGATCCCTTAACAAAGTAGCATTGAGGTATTTGTCTTTAATCTTATTAATTCTCTCTTCCATTGATTTGAGTCTACTTCTTTGCCCATTCAATGTTTTATCTATTTCTGAAATTTCAGTATTAGTCTTCTGGATTTCTATCTGTAGATTTTGTATCATTTCTGATGTTTCATTTATTTTGTCGTTTTGTTCTTATATTGTCTTCTGAAATTGTTCTAGGGTTTTATTTATGTTTTCCTTGCTCTGTCTCTCAGTCCATTGAAGGTACCTAAATATAACACTTTTGAATTCCTTGTCAGGGAGTTCCAATGCTGTTTCTTCCTCAGGGATATTTTCTGGATCTGTGTCCTGGTCCCTTGTTTCTGCCACTTTATCTTTTTTTTTTTTTGAGTATATATTTTATTTTATTTTTTGTGATTTGGGTGAAGGTTTACAGAGAAAATTCACTTTCCATACAGCAGTTCACATATACGTTGTCTCATGTCATTGACTACAATTTACAATGCAACAGCTCCCTTCCCACTTCCTCCCCATAGTTACCTCTTCCCATTGTCCATCCCTCCATACACTCCTGCCTCCTGAGCTGTCTCCCTGTGCATAAGCAGCCCTTCTTTCTCCCATGATTGTTCTCTCCAAGGAGTGTATCTACCTCAGGTAAATGTTCAACTCATATGCCTATCTTTTGTTTGGCCGGAAACCATAGCTGTGGGTTCAATTCCAGATCTGAAGGGCAGCTAGGGGCCATAGTCTCAGTGGTTCCACCAGGCTCCATCAGACCAGCAAACCTGGTCCCTCCCCCGCTTTTTTTTTTTTCTCCAAATGATTTTGAGTTTTGTTCCACACGGTTCTCCCTCTCTATCAAGGATCTCCTACATAGATCCCCTTCCAAGTGGATGACAGTGGTAGCCGGGCACCATCTAGTTCTTCTGGGCTCATAGTTGTATAGGCTGCAGATTGGATGGTGTACCAGTTGGCAGGACTGATTGTTTCCATGAATTTTGGTTTCTTCATTTTTCTTTGCTCTGGATGAGGAGAGACCCATCATTGCACTCAATGTGTGCCACTTTATCTTGCTTTTTTGTGTGAGTTGTGATGGTGTGTTGTCTCTGAGACATTGTGATGTCATATTTATATTTAATTGGTGATTGTATGTTGGTGTGATTCACCCAAGACTTTTTCCGTCTGTTCTATTTTGCTGTATCTGAGTAAGCAGGCTACTGCGCTCCTGTTTGCTGGTTGGCAGCACTTAGGTACTCACCACCTGTCTCCTGGTGGATGTGAAAGGGAGTGAGAGTGGGTGCACAGATCTCTGTTAGCTGTTTGTGAAGAGCAGTGAAGGGTGAGTCAGGCTCGTATTGGCTGTCCTCTATCATTGGCCAGTTGGTGCAGAGGAAGTGGTGGCCCTTACTCAGTAGGTGGGGCTGCAGGAAGTGCGAGTATGGTTTGGTCATATGGGCACGGTTGCTATCTCCCTCTCAGACAAAAAGAACAATCTAAATAAATAAATAAAAGAATGTCAAAAAATTAAAAACAAGATGACAAAACACCCAAACTCATAAATATACAGAAACAATTGCAAAGCAACCAAAAAACGAAAAGCAATAAATGAGAAGAAATAGTGAAATAAATAGTCAAAAAAAGACAAAAGAAATATAAAGTGAAAAAAAAAAAAAAGCACAATATCTGGGGAGGGGGGAATAAAAGATGTAGAAGAATAATACAGAAAAACATGAGAAAATTGCAAAAAGAAAAACAAATGATGGGAAGAACCAAAAGAAAGGAAAAAACAGTTAAAGGGAAGACAGAGGGAGAGGGAAAGAGAGACAGAGAGAGAGGAAAAAAAAAATTGGATCCTGGGAAAGGAAAAAGAAAGAATAAAAATAAAAAGGAAGAGAAAAGAATAATTTAAAAACAAAGAAATTGGGGGTTGGGTGGGGCAGGGCACCCAGGCTCCGTCTGAGCACACAGACTGGGATTGACTTCCTTCCAGCCCAGAAGGTGGGTGGAAGTGAGGGATGGCCACACCTCTGTTCAACAAGAGGGTGTGGGGTCTAAGCCTTTCCAGTCGTTCATGTCTGGAGTGTCCTTGCGGTCCCTGCAGGTGGAGCCTATTGTTAGGTCCGTGGAATCTGAGAGAACGCTGTTGCTTTTAAATACCCAAAATGGTCGAACCGCTTGTAAACATTGAAAATGGCTGTGCCCTCCAGAGAGCCAAAAGCCCACAGCTCAGCTTGTCTCCTTTGCTGTTTCCCTTTTAGTTGTCAGCCACCCGTGCAGTTGTCCACACAGACTTTAGCGACCAGGGCCAGTTTTTAGGTGAATTCTCAGGTCCTGACACCAGTTGTAAATATTCAGACTGTCTGTGCCGTCAGGATGGCTGACAGCCCGCAGCTCCGTTTGTCTCCTGATCCACTGTTTTCATTCAAGTTTTACTGGTTGATATTTAGTCCACTTCTGCATCCTTCCTTTCAAAGCTCAGGGCTCATGGAGTATCTCTGTATCTGTGTCGATGGGTTTTTTTTCTTTGTTGGAGAGGGTCTCTTAGCTTGTTTGCCTGTTCCACTGTCTCACTTGTAGGCCCCTGTGATTGTGAGGTCAGCTCACTTGAACTCGTTTCAGGTGCACATTTGGAAGGTGATGCGTGTGCTTTTTGCAGCCCCACTTAGGTCCCTGTGATGGCTAATGAGGCTCACCCTCGCCCCTGTGACATCGGCCACAAGATGGAGTATGGGGGGCAGGGGCATGAGGTGCAGGTCGAGCACGTCAGGGCGTACATCAGCAAGCCCCCTGTGGACACAGGCCGAGCGGTGATTGTCATCCAAGACATATTTGGCTGGCAGCTGCCAAACACCAGGTACATGGCCGACATGATCGCAGCGAACGGATACACGTAAGTCACAGCCTGGCCCTGGCTTCAGTTTGTGTAAGTATCTGTGGTCTGTCTTGTTTCCCCAGAGTCTCGGTTACCTGGTACTGCTGTAACAAAAACACCACAAGGGGGTGGCTTTCACAGACAGAAATGATTTTGTCGTAGTTGCAGAGGCTGGAAGTCCTGTCCTGGTGCCGGCTGTGGAGGGAGGCCTCTGCTCTTCGCCTTCTACTTCCTGTTTCCTTGGGGAGCTCCATGGGGCTTGGCCATTCTCTTCCCCGAGCTCTGCTTCTCTGGCTTGTTTGTTTAATCTCTTATATCTCAAAGGAGATTGACTCTAAACCCACCTGGCACGAAGCCTGTCCCATTCCCAAAGCGATCATCACCACAGGCTTAGAGGTCGGGACGGACAGCACATACCGGGGACACGATTCAGTCCATAGCACCCAGGAGAACTCCCGGGAGTTGGTCCACTCGGTCTTCATTCTGCCCTCACCCCTCAGTCTGTCCCCCCGTCCTCCGTCCCCGTCCTCACCCCCGTGTCCCCTCATTCTCAATCCTCACCCGTGTGCCCCGTCCTCCGTCTCTGTCCTCACCCGTGTCCCCCGTCCTCCGTCTCTGTCCTCACCCGTGTCCCCTTGTCCTCTGTCCCCGTCCTCACCCGTGTGCCCCGTCCTCTGTGCCCATCCTCACCCGTGTGCCCCGTCCTCTGT